ATAACTTTTTTGTTAATTGAGATATCAACGAGATATTTGGCAGGTATTTAGACACTATCTAAAGACATATGCTGAGACTTAGAAATCTATTTTTATTGCCTGTATTTTTAGTGTGGGTTGATAAATATGCGTTTGGTCATTTTTTTTGAATTCACCCATATGAAAACAATAAAGTGACATATAGTTACAATAATAACAAAGAATAAAGAAGTAGGCAGAATAAGAATAAAAGCAAGATAAATAGACTTTTGGCGATAATTCCCTTCCATAGGATTAAAGCTCAAATTACTTCACATGAATGTTGGATCTAAATTTTATAATATTATAAGTAATATATATAAGAATAGTCAGGCATGTGTGAAAATTGGAAGGTTCTTTTCGGATCCATTTCCAATAGCTATAGGTGTCCTCAAGGGGATAACTTGAGCCCTTCTTTATTTAAAATATTTATAAATGATTTTCCATCATATTTAGATTCATGTATTGATGAAGTATCACTTCAGACAAAAACTGTTAACTGTTTAATGTATGCAGATGACATTGTTATTTTATCATCATCAGCTAAAGGTATACAAGCAAGACTTTCTAAACTTGAAAAGTATTGCTCTGATTGGTGTTTAAAGGTAAACATTCAAAAAACTAAAGTCATGATCTTTAATAAAGCTGGTCGTAATTTTACGCAAAAACTAATGTTTCAAAATAATAGGATAGACTGTGTATCTAGATACAAATATCTTGGAGTTCACCTAACTGCATCTGGAAGTTTTCATGTAGCAAGATCAGAGCTTTATAAAAAGGCGTTAAAAGCATATTATAAATTGAGAAATGATTTTATTAATTTGAATCCTGGGATTAAAATGAGTATACATGTATTTGACTCTACTATTAAACCAATTCTTTTGTATAATGCAGAGGTGTGGGGTGCAAGTAATATCAATACTAAAAGATTCCTAAAATGCCAAAAGTTAGAAGTTGAAGACTGTTTCAGAAATCTACTTTGTGAAAGAATACACCTTAAATTCTGTAAATATATTCTTGGTGTTCATAAGGAAAGTACAAATTTTGCAGTATTGTCTGAATTGGGAAGGTTCCCCCTGCATTATGATATTGTCAAATTGTTAATCAAAAGTTGGTATAGATTTGAAAATTTGTCCACAGAATTCCCTTTACTTAAAGATGCATATGAATGTAGTAAAAATCTTTTTGTACGTGGAAAGAGCTCATGGTTTGCATTTATACAGAAATTAAGAAATATACTGAATATCAAAGATGAAGTCATTTGTTATGGGAAGCATAAATTTAAGTCACTCTGTCATAAAACCATATTAGATTATTATGTAAAAAATTGGTATACAAGTCAACAAAGTTATACCGATGGTAAATTAAGCACATATGTAAAACTCAAACAAAATTGGGGTTATGAGAATTATTTATCAGTAGTTAAAAATTTTCATCACAGAAAATCTCTATGTAAGTTAAGAATTTCTTGTCACAGATTGCAAATTGAAGTGGGAAGATTTACCAACATCCCTCAAGAAGATCGATTATGCAATAGATGTAACTCTAACAGTGTAGATGATGAAACTCATTTTCTGATAACATGTAAAAAATATGATCATCAAAGAAAAGAAATTTTTCAATCAATTAAAAGTAAATTTCCAAATTTCTCGGCATTAGATGATGAACAAAAACTTTTTTGGTTACTCAATACTGAAGACAAAGAAACTCTTCATTCTGTGGGCAAATTCATAAATGATAACATGTTGTAGTAGCCATACACTTTTATACCGTATATACTCGCCTATAAGTCGGTCCGCCTATAAGTCGGTTGTATTTTTTAAGCTTAAATTAGAGGGATTGACCCGCTAAAATACCAATCTTTTTATAACTCACGTATAAGTGGGATAAAGAGTTTTGGACCAAAGTTTTACTCCCAAAAAACCAACTTATAGGCGAGTATATACGGTATATAGTATTCCCTTTAACTGAAACAGTACAATATTATTGTTGAAATGAGCAATGTCATTTACAAATTGTTATACTATCCATTGGCATATCTTTTTTTTATTATTGTAATAATTTCATACTTGTCTGTTATGGGCTCTAAATTAGAAAAAAATGTTCTGTTCTGTTCTGTTCTGTACTTATCCCACTAGAATACTGATTGGTGAAAACTCTAAAGGCAGATCACAGGATGGCCTGAAGTTTTCTAATACACCGTCTCCCAGTAGACATTGGGCACAAGATTCTGTTTTACATGACTTTTTTTTTTAAAAATTGGCAGCAAGCAAACGATTTGTTTGTTGAACTATAAGTTCGTTACTTTTGATATTGTGATACTGATAATATATGATATTCAATTTTACTCTGAGTTATATTTTTTATTTCAAATGTTACTGAATTCTAAACAAGTTTTGTAAAGGTCTTCACTGAGATAAATTTGTAACATTGAAAGGGACTTAATACAGTCATCCAGGAAGTGAAATGGAAATCCGTATTTGGGACTTGACTTTGCCTCACCCAGTTGGGATTTCAATTTCACACCCTGGATGACTCTGTATTAGGTCCTCAACTGATTATGTAACTAATGACATTCCAAGCCCCATAGCTCATACAAACACATCCATTGCTCTAGCCCATTAACAGCTGATGTTTTCTGACACCATTGTTGCTTTTCAGGAAAGTATGATATCACTGTTTATCATTTTTAAGTCATTTTGCAATGAAAAATGGACTCTTAAGCTCTCCTGATAAAAATGGACTCTTCAGCTCTCCTGATAAAAAATGGACTCTTTAAAGGGTTTTTATCACGTCTCAAAAATTTTTGATATGACAAAGTTTACATGCTATTAAAATCATATATTTAGAAATCTTTGCTAGAAAATTAATGTTTTTGATGTTTCAGCTATTCAAAGTTTGAATTTCTCAATATGCATATTTTGATCACCAATGTTACGCGCCATTGCTCTGACGTCATAGGTGTCAATCCTGGTCAAGCGAAGTACTTATTGTGTATACAAAAGGTCTCACTTGTTGTGTCTATTAAACTAGTTAGAAAATAATTAAGTGATAATTGGATAATTGACAGCTACTAAGGTATAATTTATGGCATTAGGATGCACAAATGTGCACAAGAAAGGTTTTAGGAAGTTTTTTTCCACATTTCCTGGACTTGGTCGAGAGATGAAAGGGGCCTGTTTCTGCAAATGCGATGGCGTTTATTATCTCCATTCAGAACAATCGTTTATGCCCGATCGATCACAAATTTTTTTCTGTCCTATAAAATATTTTTAGGAATGATACCTTTTAAAAAATAATAAATGACAAACAAGCATTTCTTAAAAGTCGCACAGAATCTAGTAAGAATGTTGTGAACTTCGTAATGGCGTACGGCGCAATTGAAGAAGTGTCATTTCTAGTACACGATATTCACTGCTAGAACAGATAGAAGATACACAGGACAGGGATTTTTTTAGGGTCTCTCCGGGGCCGAAATTCGGCCCCATTCCCAATGCTGAAAAGTGCATGTTTTCCCAAAATTATACCTAAAAATTCCCAATATGAAAAAAGTATAAAGTTGTAAATTATTAAAATACAATAATGACGAAAATGCGTTTATGTTCTCTATGTGCGATGTACGAGCCATATGAGGAGTTCCGAGAAGTTATACGGAATACTACGGATATTTGCATGCATACTTTTTAAAGCAGGATCGATGTTTGAAAATTAAAGTCGGGATCGTTATTTAATAAATAAACGTACACCATGTCAGCTTCTCAAGATTGCCTAGGACGGTAATTTTCAGGCTGGGTTGGGTCACCCTTATTCTTATAAATTGGTCAAACAATACCGATTAACCACTCATCTGGAATAAATCCACTGTCAAATTTTATTTTAAAGATCTTCTTACATAAAGGTAAAAAAAATGACAATGTATAAATATGTTCATTTAGAATGTTATCATACCCTGCGGCTTTGCCAATTTTAAGCTTCTGAACTTCAACAGTCGCTATTATTTCAAATCACTAAAGCTGGTTTAGGCCAGCTTCATACTATGAAAAATAAGAAAAATGATTAAATATTTGAATTTTGCTTGTTTTTTTTTCTATTTATTTGTATGAAGATATTTTTCCCAATTTCAACCAAATATCGCTATTTTTCCCAATCCCTGCAGGATTTAATTATATATAATTAATCAAAATAGTAATGAGGGAGAATTTAAAATTCCCATATTCATAAATGTTTAAGAAATTAGTAATTCGTTCTATTTAGTCGAAGTCCCGAGTTGTCAACGGCTTCGTCTTCGGTGACCTCTCCAACTGTCGATATCTTTTCTGGTTATTTCTCTCTGCTAGACGTTCATACATAAAAGATTGACTGTCCATTACCAAAGGAATAGAGTCGATGTCAAAATTTCAACCGGACTTATTGTGTATTCTATTTATTTAGTGTAAAAATCTACTCAATATATTTTTTCTTAGGATAAGCTTTACGAGTTCTATTGACCATTGACACCTATGACGTTTCAGTACCACGTGACCCCTATCTAATTAGTGGTGATTTTTACTCCGAGGACCCCATATTACGGGCGTTTTATCGTCTAATTATGGCCGTTTTCAACATTATTTCATAATTAAACGATAATTATATGTTTCAAGAATATTATAATGTTTCATTTTTAAGAAATATAGATATGTGATAAAATCCCTTTAAGCTTTCCTGATAAAAATGGACTCTTCAGCTCTCCTAATAAAAAAGACTCAAGCTCTGCTGATAAAAATTGGATTCTTAAGCTCTCCTGATCATGATAACAGGATCAGTAAAACAAAAGTTGAGATATATAATATATGATATAATATATAAAGAGTATACTCTAATGGATAGTGGGTTTTTCCAACTCCTTCTATTTGCAAACAAACTCAAGGGTTACATCCGAAAATGTCTTAAAACTGTTTGATAAGCAAACATTTGTTGGATTTTTTGAGACATTTTCTACTCACATTTTACCGATGTCCTCATACTTCCTGGTTATGTTCTTCTGAAGCGTCTGTAAACAGCTGATAATTTTCTGTGATCTCTGTTTTAATTTTAAGCCATGTGTCATAAGAATTCTGTTCACCCATAGAAGATAAAACTCAATATGAGCCGTGGTCTCCAGTTGTGAGGCTAAGAACACTAACAATTTGTCCACATATACATCAGGCAGGTTCTCCACTATCACTTCAACTAAAACAAGATCATATATATACATGTATATGTAAAATAAATTCTCATTTGAATTTGGAAGGAATCATTAGGCCTGATTGTAACATTATTATCTAGAATATTTCAGCTTTAATGGGTTCAATAATTTGAAAATATGATGACTCATTAAATTTTGCACATGCATGTACCAATCTCAAAGATTTGCAGAAGTTCAGGAAATCAATGAAAACTCATTTTGTTACAAAATCTTACTAACATATGTTGATTCTATGTCTACTTACTGCTAGAAACAGGAATATTCTCAAGAACTTCTTGTTTTAGTTTTGTTTCATTTAGTTTAAAGCAAAGGATGAGAGCAGTAGAGTACTCTCCCCTTGACAGAGCCTTCTTTGTGCTGCTAGGTGTCACTTCAATATCAAGGTCAAAAGGGTCAAACACCAAGCTACTGTCCAGAGAATAAATCATCAAGCCCTCTGTGGTAGCTGCTGCCCATGCTCTTCCTGTAAAGAAAACATTTTGGTATGGCAATTATTCTAATGATTATCATAAATTTATGAAATGTTGGACAGCATCTGCTTTTAGTCAAGGGCACATGCACTACTTTTTTTCATAACTTATGATGAAAGCAAGTATTATGGATTATGGACAAAGACAGCAAAAATAGCCAATAAAGATAGACAGCAAAAATAGCCAATATAGATAGACAACAAAAATAGCCAATATAGATAGACAGCAAAAAATAGCCAATATAGATAGACAGCAAAAATAACCAATATAGATAGACAACAAAAATAGCCAATATAGATAGACAGCAAAAATAGCCAATCTAGATTGAAAGGTTTTCTGTGTAAAAATGGCTTGAGAGAAAATAAAGCAAATTTTACCTGTTGGGGAGAACTGTATGCTGACTACCCTGACCTCTGGTTTCCAGTGACGACTGCTAAAGTCCCCCTTTTTGACCCCTGGGAGACTGATATTCTGTCCATTCTTATCTCCCTCTCCCTGGTCAACTAATGCTAGACTGCCCCAATCTGACATTTTCTTCTTGTCCAGGTATTCCTTGATAAATTATAAATCTTTCAGAATATAATTTAGTTGAAAAAAAAGGAAAAGAAAACTTGTCTGTTAATCTATGACTTCAAATAATAGCTATAAAAATTCTTCCAACTTCCTTGTAAGGGGATAATAAACTTTAAACTAAATCTAATCTAAATTCTCTTACCTCCATGCCATCAAAGGACATATTACAGGATATGTCAAACTTTTTCAGCAGGAGTTGATCAGGAATGGAGTAGATACACACACTCTTAGACTGACCTGCTGCCAGCAGACATTTTCCATCTGCACTGTAGCAGATTGTCATAAATGCCCTGCATAATAAAATCATTTGTTAAGAGAACTATACAAAAAGAATATTCACAACATTAAATGATGCATTATTTGTTTATTCCTAAGCATTATACAAACTTGTTTAAGATGATACATACTATATTCAATACTGTTTTGTGGAATTAAATCACAGACTTACAGCATCTTTTTTTTTTAATTCCCCTTCTTTTTATCAACTACATATTTAATTCTCTGGTAGTTTATATTCATGCAAACTTACTTTCCTGCTGATGCCTTTTTGGCTGTTATTTTGTCCCCTTCTTTCCTGGAGTATCCAAGGTCATGGCGACCTTCAATGGAGTGGGTCTGTACAATGTTGGCAGGGTCCCAAAATGTCAGCTGAGCATCCAGGGTGGATACAGCCAGTTCATTTCCATCAGGTCGGAATCTCACAGCCAGGACTGCAAGTCAACATTATAGACTTACTACTGCCATTTTCAAATAATTTGAATGATAGAAACTGTTGAAAATTTCCCTACATCTGTCTTATACTGACCATCCGAGGAAAGGACAATTGTTTCCCTGGCTCCTTTGTTTTCAAACACGTCCCAGAGTTTCACAGATTTATCCCAGGACCCACTGGCAAGGAGAGCTTTGTTAGAGCTAAAACTCAGAGAACTGACAGGGCCCTCATGTCCTGCAAGTACCTGTTAACAAGTCTCAAGTTTACTTTCAGGAAAGAAAATTTTACATTCTTAGAAGTTACATCTTAAATAGGCATATGTAAAATAAATGAGATATTCCAAAATTTTAAGCATTTTCTTTACTGGAACACAACAATTTACAAGTGGAAAAAGAACAAGTATTCTGAGAATAATGCATAAGCAATACTAGTCCCCTAACTTGAAAACTTGATTTATAACTCATCAAGGTACACTTGTATACCGAAAATTAGCTCAATTTCTGCAAGAGTTTAGAAATAAAGTGTGGAAAATCAAGAAAAACAGACAGACAGACAAACAAGGAGGAACCTGTAGTCCCCCTCCAGTCTGAACAGTAGGGGACTAATAAACAATGAAATACTAAATGCAGAAAGACAAAGAAAAACAGAGAATTGAACTCATACAAGTTTTACACAGAGGTAACTCTGGTAATTGTCATCCTGTGAATTAATGCCTTTACATACAGTGAAACTTGTCTAATCTCCATGTTGTATAGTCTGAAATCTTACCTGTTAACGATAAAAACTTTTAGTCCTTTGGGTAAATGTAATAGTTGAAAATATTGTCTAACATGGAATGTTTTCTAATCTGCCCAATTTCTATGGAACCAGTAGTGTCCCGATTAAATTTTACTGTACATGCAAAGTGTAAGTATAATTCAGCATTGACAGTTCATTATACTGGTATTGTAAAAATGATCCCTACATGTATGGTTCCTCCCACTGATTCACAAAATAAACAAAACACATAAATATTCACATTTACAGTATCAAATTTTGAAGAATGAGAAGTATCAGACAAACCTCTAAGAGTCTCCCAGTCTGCATGGACCAGACAAAGATCTCAAAGGTGTCCAAAGCCCCAGCACATACAATGTCACCACTGTTATCTACCGTGATACAGGAAAACTGAGCAGGTCGAGGAGAAGTGAATGTACGAAAGTTACGATACCTATGTAAAAAGAAAAAAAATGTATGAGTTGTATGTAGGTTTTAGACTTAAAATTCTTCAAAAAATCTTTCTCTTAAAATTTGAGATTTTAAAATGTGAAAATGAGAGTCCAATTTCTTTTTTATGACAGTCACTTGCAATTCATAATCAAAATTTCACTTTTAATCAAACATGACACTTGAGGTACGCATATCAAATGAAAAAGTATCTGGTGTAAATATACATTTTATTTTGGTTTCTAACCTGTTTAAATCAAATGCTCTAACAGTGCCATCTAGTGAGGAGGAAAGGACAACCTGTCCACTCTGAGTAAATGCTACTCCAGTTACTCCCCCTAGATGTTCATTGAAGGTCACAAAACAGAAGCCACTGCTGGTATTCCACAGCTTCACCTATAAAATGAAAAAGTTTAAAATCAATTTAAAGAAAATCAGTAAGTTTTTAAAATATATGACCTTGATATTGATTTATTTTTAAGTAATATTTCAAACCAAAATATCATTACTCCTTATCAGTTTACCTTAATGAGAGTGTAGATTGGCAAATAATCACAATGGTTTTAATTTCACTATGTTCGCGATTCATCATTTTTCCAAAAAATTAAACCCATCGTGAATGCTATCATTAGTATTTAAAAACGTTTAAATGCTTATACGAAATTTAAATTAATTTTTTGCAGCGTGAAATCAAAACCATCGCAATTGGCACTTTTCGAGAAATCGTTAAATTTTAACACTGTGGAATTAAAACAACTTACAGTACTCCATTTTCATTCCCGAAGAAAGTTTCAGGAAAAAAGGGATAAATTGAATGTCTGTTTTACCTTGCCATCATCTCCCCCTGTTGCAATATACTGTCCATCTGGTGAGTATGACAGGCAGCTGACATTGTTGAAATGACCCTGTTGTTTCAATACATATGTCTCACTCTGCCACTCCCAAACCAGGAGCTGACCTAAACCAGCACAAGCCAGTCCAATCCAGTCACCACTCTTGTTAAAGGCTACCGAGGATATCGTCTGCTCGGATATACTAAAATAACAAAATTACAAAAGAAACTAAATAAAACTCAGATGGACTGACAGTTTATACTAGCAAGAAAAAAAATGGCAAGAGTCACTCATGTGGCTAGCTCTTTAGACTAATGTTTGAGAACAAAAGTGATTTGAACTGAAATCTGCTCACTGGTCAAGCACAATTTTTTTTCCTGTTATCAGAACTCAACACACTGACTACCACAATATTCCAAGTGAACATTGATAATGGTGGACACAAGAATGACCTAGATGCAACACTTATGCAATTTTGGTCCAGGTCGGACTATTTACCTGGAAAATGACTTATCCTAAAAACTTAAACTGCATGGTTACTCATTCAGGAAATGCAGGTCAGATCTACCATACAAAGCAAGTCTATAAGTGTGCATTTCTTGATGCATCATCCATACATGTTTGGTCCAGGTAGGCCTTATGGGGATGGACATGCTCAAAAAGTCTAACCTGGTCAATCATCCAGAAAGCATACTTTATATCCATGCAGCATCAGAAAAAAGTCTGGTAGTGTGCACCCAAAATGCAAGTTTGTGCTATGAAGGGATTCAAATTAAACTGGAATAAGCCAGCTCCAAAACCTTGGTCACTCATGCAGAATCATAGGTCAAATCCAGCATCAGAAGCAATTCTGATAGTGTGCATCTGTAGTTGCCTTGTCCATCAAAGTTTGATCTAGGTACTGCTACAAAAACTTTAACCTGGTCACTCATCCAGATAATGTAGGTCAAGTCCAGCATTCAAAGCAAATCTGATAGTGTGCATCCCTAGATGCAAAATCCATGCAAGCTTGGTGCAGATAGGGCTTAAAGTTACACTGGAATGAGCCTGCTATAAACTTTTTAACCTTGTCATTCATCTAGAAAATGCAGGTTAAAACAAACATCTGAAGCAAATATGAGAGTGTAATCCCTTCATGCATTATCCATGAAAGTTTGGTCTACAGTGTGCTTGAAGTTAGACTGGACTGAACATGCTTAAAAAACTTTAACCTAGTCACTCATCCAGAAAATGTCGGTCAAATACAGCATCCCAAGCAAGTCTATTAGTGTGCATCCTTAGATGTATCATCCATGCAAGTTTGGTCAGCATAGGGCTTATAGTTACTTTAGAATGAACCTGCTCCAAAAACTTTAACCTGGTCGCTTATCCAGAAAATGTAAGTCAGATCAAGCATCTGAGGCAAGTCTGGAAGTGTCGTCCTTAAATGTATCATCCCTGTAAGTTTGGTCAATATAGCCCTAAGGGCTTATAGTTACATGGAAATGAGATCTGCTCAAAAAACTTTAACCTGTGCCATAACCTGTGCCAAAAACTTTACTCTGCTCAAGAAACATTATCCTGGTGAAAATGCAGCATCTGAAACCTGGTACAATGAAAGATACCAAAGGCATCCTCCATGCATCTCTGATCAATACTGGGCATAGAAGTGTTTAAAATGAAGTCCGCTCCAAAAATCTTAATCTGGGAAGCAGACACCAAGCGTATTACATAAACTTCCCTAACTTCATTGAGGTGAGCTAAAAATATGTCAAGCCCTTTTCCTAAAAAAATCCCTTGCATAATTTACAGTTTTACACTCAGGTATTGTACTGGCTTAAGGTACATTCAACCTCTTATCTTCCAATTTTATTAGCATTTTGAAGAGGCAGATCTCAGGTAAAAGTATATACAAGTATAAACATTTTTATTGGAATACACTTTAATAAACAGAACTGCACCTGCCTACATCACCAAATATATTACTTGACATAAAACAAACTATCCTGTCAAAATCAGTAATCTGAACAAGTCTACGAGAATCTTAAAACATAACTGTGAACTATTGCTTATTATTGTTCACTAACAAAATAAATACCTTAGTGAATGAATGAGGTTAAAATCTGGAAGTTCATGAAGGTAGAATGAGCCATCTTTAAATCCAGACACCAGGATATGAATATCTTTGTGGTAGGCCACACTGGTCAGCTTAGAAACCTTTGCACCTTCTCCTAAACATTCTCTGTATGAATGCCTGCAAAAAATAATACCAATGGTTCAGTATACATGGAATGTTTCTATAGGAACAAGATAGTTTAAACTGTGATTAAACTCTTACTTGGCTATCCTACTATATTTGATTTGGTTGTCATTGCTTCCTGACTTTTTAGTCACATCCTCCTCTTCTGAAAATAAACACAAATGTACAGAGGAAATCAAGGCACAAAACATCAGATCAACAAAGCTATCATTGCAGGAAGCAAAAGTTTAAAAATATTAACATAAAACTAGAGGACAATAGTCTCATTGGTAACCTGAGTAAAAAGATTTATTTTAAGTCACATTCTTTTTTCCTCCTCTACAAGACTTAAGAGCCCTTTAAGATCACTACTTCGATCAAGGGCAAATGATGCCAACAAATCTTATTTAGTCATAATTTGACAATTTTTTGCCTTGTTTTTAGTGAAAGAACATTTTTAAATCCTTCATTGAAATCCCACAAAATAGTTCTACCAGTAATCTTTATGTCTATAAATCTATCAAACTTAATTCTACACTGAATGTCTAAAAGGCCAGCATGTGAAATGATAATTTATAGCTTTAGTTCTTGAAAAGAAAGGATTGAACTTTTTCTTATACATTTCCATGTTTGAATCTTTGTACTGTTTTTTTTAACCATAAATTGAAGTAACACTACATGATAATGCTTTCATATATACAGTTAAACCTTGTTATCTCAAACTTCATGGGACCAAGAAAATACTTCTAGATATCTGAGAATTCGAGACATTCGGTGTAAAATACTTAAGAAATAAGCACTTGGGACTTCAAAATCACTTCAACATATTCATGGTATTGGAGATATCCGTGTTTGAGATTTGTAGTCTTGGAAGGACTTTGTGTTTTTAAGGAACTCATATAACCTAAAATGCTTGTACACTTTCAAGCAACAAAAATTATATTCAAATATTTCATGTTATTTTTTTAATGATTAACTTCAAAGGTATATTTTAAGATCAGAGCAATCTAACACCACTGTATGCTGACGTCTTTAAATTGTCAACCTTTCTTTTCTGGTTCCTCCTCTTCATCATCAGATACCAGTTTAGCACCAGTCTCCATCTCCGGTTTACTGTATGGCTCCAGTCCATCTGGTTCTGTATCACATTTCCAAACACTCATATGACCTGTTCTACTTACAATGTATACCTTTAGATTAAAGAAAATACATCAATACCCACAAGTACCTACACAAGAGTTACCTATTACTTAAGTCCATAAAAAGTATCTTAAATAGAACTGAATGTCAAACTTTGAAAAAGTGGTATAGTACATGTGATTACTAAAGGATACATCTAAGGAGTCCTTTTCAAAAAAAGCTCCAATAATAGCATCAGCATGTCCACCTATGGTATAGACTATAAGGTTGTTATAGCGTTCTGTACCATATACCCTTGTGTTCATGTCCTTACTCCCCACACAAAATGCTCTGTAAAAGATAATATACAAAACTGTACAGTCTGATAGGAAATCAAGTCATAAACAAGTACTCAGCAGTAGTTACTAGGAATCCTGATTTATATTTGGCTCATTTTGACATACTCAAAACTTTAGAAAAAACTGTTGTTTATCATGGACTAATAACATACAGTACATTAATTATGAATAAGCATGCAGAAGTGACAAGAAGAAATACAAATACATATGTAATTTTAACAGTAACAGAGCTTGTACTTAGAGTCTGTTGTCCAGTCAATACACAGAGTCTCATCATAGGCTCCATAAAAGGTTCTGTACAAAACAAAGGGGTTAAATTCTTTGGTTTTCCCTGGAGCATGAAAAACCTGCACCATATTGTCACGGGTGGCAGCAAACTTCCTGAAAATTACATTGTACCAGTATATACATTTATGTGCAAATATATAAACATACATGAACATAAGATTATGTGTGCAATTGATGGGCAGCATCTTCATGCACTTCTTATTTGTATAGTATTTTAAAGTATAAATAACAATTGATTACAGCAGTACAGCACACTCGGTACTAACAGAGGGTCAGAGAGAAAGAAAGGAAGAGCACTTTGTACTAACTTGCCATCTGGGCTGAACTGTATACAGTGAACTGGTCGATGGAACTTGTAAGTGTGAATTACTGTCCTGCTCAACAAGCTACATAGTAAGGCATCTCCCTCTGAAAAAAAAAACTTTCTTGTATCTTAGCTATAATATTAGGGGAACTGCAAAATTATTTCCCCTTTTTTATGTAATTTTCATTTTCTGCAAATGCCTCATGAGATGAGCAATCAACTTTAAAAATACCAAATCCATGCAAAATTCATGCTAAATCCCACTAATTTCATGCACTCCCACTAAATCCATGCACTCCCCACATTTCTCTCTGAAGAAGATAAAGGTATACATATAAAATACTACACAGGATCCATTTGTCTCACCTTCATTAACCAAAATGACGGTAACTCCATCTGGTGACAATCCCACACACGTTATGTTGGTGTTACTCTCTATTGGTAGTGTTTCTGACTGGTTGCTACAAGCAAAGGGATAATTATGAAAGCATGGCATTTGTTCTAACAAATCAATCTTAATTTGAATTAATAAACATCTATAATCTAAGAAATAAGTGTGAATGCATATTTATTTTACAGAACTTAATAGCTCAAAATTACTCCCCTCTACCAGTTCGTCATTTTTAATCTAGTTCATAGTTATCTAGTTCTAGTTATAGGCCTACTATTACTGCTACTTGTCAAATTGTGACTTTTTAAATCTTTATAAAGGTGTATTTGCTGTATGTGTGGTTGTTTAAAAATTTAAAACTTATTATACTAAATACACAGTGATGGGTGGGGAATTGGGAATATGTGACTTACTCAAAAATATCAAGTAGAAAAAAAATAAATTACAAATTATGTTTTATGTCAAGTCAAATATATAGGGCCTACTCAATGATTGGTGTATTCAATACAGAATATTATGTAAATGACAAAATATACCGTGTTGAATGTTTCTTAATTTCTATCTTACTTTTTCAGGTCAAAAATGGAAACTCTGTTCCCTACAGGACTGATGATACTGTTTCCATCCGGACTAAACAGAATGTTTCCCTTCCTGTATACTGACCCTAGCAAGTTGGAAAACTGTAACATAGTAAGGCTCAAATAATCATGCTATTTTCAGTTGCCAATCTAAAATTTACACAAGTTTAAACACACAAAAAAATTGATATTATTCCGCACTGCCAACATACAGTTGTATGCAAGCATTTCTTCAATCTTACTTTGTATGAAAATTTCATCGTTGATTAGATCTTTCACAAGACTGTTCCATTCTGGTGCATAGAAAAATGTATACACAAACACACGTGTTTAGCCATTGACAGAAGTTACCCCCCTTCATTTTAGATTTTACAAAATCTTAAACTCCTTTTCATTGGTTGTTCTATATATCCTTACCCAATGGCAACTCAGCTAACATTTTTTCTTACCATCGATCACATGATTACATGTCATTCGCCATATTCACGGTGGACAAAATTTGAGGAAGAACTACTGGAAAAGATAATTATCTTTTAAATTTTTTTGTGAAAAATTAATAATCTTGGAAGATGGCAGACAACAAACCAATATACACACCGTTTTTCGGCTCAATGGGTGCTACAGCCGCCATAGCTTTCAGTGGTAAGACTTGGAAAAAAAAATATCTATAGGTCTGGAATGATTGATCACTCATTAGCGGTCATTGCCGGCTGGGTACAGAAGTATCAGTATTTTGTTTAAGATCTTATTTGAAACACTCTCTCTGTGCGTTTATAAAGGAAAAGGGTTTTTTTTTTTAAATATCAGTTGAGGCATATAAGTTCTTTAGAATTATTTTTCCGAACTTGAATCTATTAGATCTACATAAAGTAGCATTTTTAGAAATTTTAATACAGTGAATATCTCAGTATGATAATGTAGTACCTTAACTGTTTTATGAGTTACATAATCATTTTGAAATGGAACTTGAGATCTAGCTATAGTTGAATGGCATGTTCAGCTACAAATATAGCTATGACCTATAGACAATGATAGAAGGAAAAGGATAGGATGCTGATAAAGGAGACTGTCTTTTCTTTCTATTGTTGTAATGCACTTTGACAAATTTATTGCTTATCTGACTTTATATATGATATCCAAAGTGAACCAATAGAGAAAAAAATATTTGCTAAAAGTATTGATTTGTGAAATTTTGAATAAATGCAAATAGATGCATGTTCAGAGTTGTCCCTACGAATTGAAACAGAAGGGGACCTGGGGTTCCTGCCTTAATGGGGAGATTAAGAGGAATACCAAAATAACCTGGGGATTACATCATTAAAGGCGGGGAAATTCCCAGGGCCCCGAGTCTTAGGGACAATGCTGATGTTTAAGGATAGAGAGCAAAGCAAATTTCACATGTTAGTGCAAGTGTTAACCCTCATTTTGGGTCACAGGTTAAAAGATATTCCATGATTTGTCGGTGAAATGACATTGAAAAGAAAAAAATTTAAAATACTTCTCAGAAATTCCCAGGTTGTCTATCACACCAGTACTTTTGGGTCTGTCTTGTTTACATTTAAGTGACATCGAGAACGTCTATGGCCTGAATTTTTAGATTTGTGTATATAGTGATAGAGCCATTCAAGAGATAATATTTGTTATCTTTAATTATTCATGTATTTAAAAGTCAACTCCAGACTACTGAGGAATTTCAGTGTTACTTGAACACAGATTTTTATTCTGATTCTCAGGAAAAGTCGAAAAAGGGGTTACGAAATTTCACTAAAAAGCTATTCATAATTTCAGTCTGAGCAGTCTGTCTGGTATTATCACGTAATACACTGATTATTAGAGTTGTATATAATGTGTTCTGTAAGTGCTACAGATAAATATATTATAAAATTATTTAAATAATGATTTTACATGGTGTAAACTAAAAGTGCTTTGACCTTTACAATTGTTTAGTCAAGTGGATGATTAATTTTTCTTTTAAGCACACCACTTGATGTGTAGATCATTGTGGAAAGTGACAAACAAGTCAGTAAATTAAGCCCTCTTTCCCACTGTAACAAGGTTACAAAAATAGTTCCCCACACTGAGCACAAAAACACCAAACCTGTTGTTTGTATATTTTAATGGGTACTATATATGGATATTTGATCAAACTAAACCAGCAAATATATATGTCTCAGATTTCTATATATCTTCCTTGGGTCTTTGGTTGTAGGTCAGTCTTCAATTACTGTCCTGACAAAAACAGGATGGTCTACACTGTCTCGTTTTTCCACTGACATTTCTAACAAATGTTTATGTTACCTGAAGCTATACAAAATTCTATATTTTAAATGATTTTACAATTTAAATGTGTTTTAACATATTTGTCAGTTTTAAAAATAATTTTATAACAAAGTCACAACAGGGAAGAAATTATTTCAGAGGGTTTTTTTATGATACATATAGTATTTATTAAAATTATACAACATTTATAATTTTACTTCAAATTTGTTAGTGTCACTAAGAAAATTAGATGTTCGACAATGAGTGAACAGTTCTTCTAACTGTGTTAGGAAATCAACATTGTTTTTTAGGAGAATGTGTAGCAAAATCATCATTTTTTTTATCCTTGGCTTTTGTATGTTATTTCATATTAAAATGGATATAAGATAATTGAATTGAATATAAACAGGTTTTCCAGTAATCAGCTGATTTACATATTTGATCACGTGTTGAAGGTTTGCCAGGTGTAGCATTGTCAAACATGTGATGTTTAGTATGGAAGTAAGAGCAGGTCATGTGACTATAGATGGATATTCCTATATTACAGTAATAGATGAGCCATATATAACTGGCTTTACATGTTGTATACTTGTAATTATAAATATGAATTTTGATTTAATTTGCTTACATATTTTTTTTCTTTTTTTTTTGGATGAAGGTTTTATCAAAAAATAAAAAAAATATTTATAGTGCACCAGCAGTTAATTGCTACAATACTGTAGCAACTGAATTATATACTGAATACATGTATATACATATTCATCCCAATTATCAGTCCTACTCTGTCTTCAATCAGTATTATGCATTATTGTGTGAAGTCCTTGGTGACCTTGTACTGTTTTAGAATTGCATTGATTTCCTGCTTTTCTCGTGCTGTATAGTGGTAGTAGGCGATATTGATTCCTTCATTTACAATGGGCAGATCTAGAGAGGAATGTGTACAGGGCTGAATTCTCCATTGATTTGGACTGCTTAGTTTGGGAGCATCTTTATGCTGGTCTGTAAACAGTAGCTGAGACAGCAGTTTCCTTGTATCATTGAAGTTCAACATGGACTGTTTTGATAATAGATTACATAGGTTTCCTTATTTCATTGGGATTAAGTTTCTTTACCAGAAATTCTTAACAAAACAGCATTTACCTGTTTTTTTTTTTTAATTCACCTTATAAGGTTCTCCTTATAAAGCTTTTATGGCCTTAAGATTTAACCAACACTGATGATAATGAGCTGTTCTTTTTTTGTTAAGATCTATACACACTAATACCGGTACTAGAGTACCATTACTTCTGTGGTCATAGCTAATATGCTGTATATATAAAGATGAAATGGCCGATGCATCCTTGACCTTGGGAGCATTAACATGATTATATTCACAAATGGCTGTTTCTTACCTGTATGAATAATGAGAACACATTTTTGACATTATAAAACAAGTGTACATGCCAAGTGAGGATTGTGTGGATTTCTGTGTACACTGCAAAACAAGATAAATCCAAAAAGTAAAATTTGTAATATTTATTTCTAGATTTTCTTAAGATACATATGTCCATTTTTGCACTTAAGGAAGCTCTAAGCATTGCACATGAGAGAGTTACAACTGATTTCTGTTCACTAATACTCTATAAATTGTCCAAGAACAATTTTTCCTGGGGAAATATGGGAGGTACTAAATAACCTACCGGTAGATGAACTCGATATGTACACATTTATATGATAAAATTTTCTCAGTGTCCAAAAACATTTATCATTAGTGTTTAACTAGTAAAATACATTTTATATTGAGTTTGGAAATTTGAGACAGTATTCCATTGATAACTCATACTGGAAAATGATCTCTTTTAGCAAGTTTTCAGAAATCATTTCCCCAGTTAAAAAAAAAAGGAACATATAAGGAATTCCTCAGAAGCAGGAATGCTTTATATATTCAAGTTGAATGCATCATGGTATCTAATACACAGTATTTATTTTTAACCTGACAAATCAAACTGGATGCATTACTACTGCTAATATTTATTTCCCAGTCACAATGAGGAAACATTAAAACATTGAAGATGTTGCATATTCTTTGTTTTAACATTTCCTCCACTGATCACACAGAGAGAGAAACCAATTAGCCATAAATGTTACTGGTCTTAACACTCTATACAGTCAGTCTGCATGCTGACATGACAGTTCTTTTACCGATTTATGTACTTCAGAATTTGTTAATTGTCAAAAGTCATCTTCAGCTATTTACAATCTCCTGATTTTAAAATCATCAGTACTTATTTAGAAAAATGTACTAATGATACTCAGATATGTGATTATATCAGATTTACATATCAATGAAGTCAATATGTTCTGTTTATCACTTTATATACTATATATGTCCATGTTTATTTTTACCTAGATTTTACTTATATGTACCAAATTGAACTTTCAGCACTGGGAGCTGCCTATGGAACAGCCAAGTCTGGTACTGGAATTGCAGCCATGTCTGTGATGAGACCAGAACTGATCATGAAATCTGTCATTCCTGTGGTCATGGCTGGTATTTTGGCTATTTATGGATTGGTCGTCGCTGCTGTTATAGCCAACAGTATTGATAAAGACTATACCTTATTCAAGTAAGTTGTATTTTAAGTCAACTTAAAATACATCAATCTTTTGTATTTTCTGCCCATCCTCAGTCTCACCACACTATAACATTGACATAATAATTTCACTGTTTAAATTCAGGAGTTTTACTTTTTATTATTACATACTTGGTAATAAATACTTTTTTTGCATATGCGATATGCCTGACATCACAATAGCCATATCAGCTTCCAAGGCTGATATTGATCCTGTAGGGCTGATATGGATCTGCAGGGCTGATGCAGATTCATATCACACCTCTAGTAGATTAAACCTTGAAAAACAGTTCTTGTGATAATACACATAGTTTTTTGTTCACATTCTCTTAATTTTTGATATAATAAGCTACATGTCAGTAGTCAGTGCATGATTATTTATTTAAATTTTTCTCAAGTTGTTGTGTGCTGTATTTTATTTACTAAGTATGTAATAAGCATAATAAAACATACCCTTTTCCACATCACATCCT